ATATATATATATATATATATATATATATATATATATATATATATATATATATATATATATATATATATATATATGGGGCACAAATCAGTCCGCCTGTGGGGTGCTCTCTGTGTCGACGATATCTATCTGAAAATGTATGGTTATATCGTCTTATAGCAGGGGTCTCCAAACTTTTCAGCCCGAGGGCCGCATTAACTATAAAATATCATTTCGAGGGCCAGAGTTTCTTCAAGACATCTCTTCGGGGTGGTAGCGCCCCCCCCCCCCCCCCCCGAAGTACGTGTACCGTTCCCCCCCCCCTCCCTTAACGAAATATAATTTATATAGAAATATATACAAATTTCAAGTGTGTCCCCCCCCACCCCGGAGAAAAAAGTCTGAAAGAAACACTGTCGGTGGCCAACAACACACTCGAGGTCTAAGTTTGCTCTCAAATTATTCTTCACGTATTTCAATCTTGAAAATATTTGTTCACACAGGTGTCTTGTTCCAAAATTTGAAAGGTACTTTGATGCTAAAGTTTTAATATTAGCAAAATCTTCCTTTTGCAAAAACTTATAAAAACCCACCCGCCCTTCTTTGAACGTGTCTCTAATGACCTCCAGTTGCAGTTCACCTTTGCAACTGGCCACATTTGCTTCAAATGGGTTCTGAAACAGTCTCACTTTTTTCTGCCCTTTAATCCAAGTAAAAAAAAAAAACGCTACTGAAACTGCAGCTTGAAGTCTTTGATGATCTCGTATGTAAATGACGTGGTGAACTCAGTGGTTGCTTCAGTCGTAATAAGACCTTGCACTGTTGAGAGTGCTTCAAATTGTTGGCTTGTACTTGTTCCAAAAACATGACAATGCCTTTAGGTGGGTGTATAGATCAGAAACTAAATTTCCATTTCTTGTAGTTTTAGGCTCAGAAAATTTAAATGACTAGTTATGTTTGCAGCAGAGGTCAATTTCTATACCCACTTTTAATCAGACAGTAAGTACACCAGCTTGTGGCTTGCCTTTACTTTCAAGGAAGTCACCTATTTCCTTTCTTAACATAAATACTCTGCTCAGAAAAATTTCTCGCAAATTAGCCATCTTACTGCTGTGAAGTATGGTAAATCTTGCGATTCTGTGTTTCTATCATTTAACATGCCTCTGAACTATCTATATTCTCTCCGGTAACAGTGCCATACATTCAATGTAGGGAAGCCAGCTCTTGTGTTATATTTATGTCTTCATCCACAACTCTAATGAACATAAGCAGTTCAGATGTGGAACAGCCGTCCAGCAACTGATCCATTACAATTAAAAAATTGCCAAACTTGCTTGCATTTTTCGCTATTTGAGTCACGATGTTTTCACCAATGTCTGCAACACGGCGATCAATGGTATTTGTACCCAAAGCAACATTTTCAAATCGTTTTGAATTTTCTGGGAATATTTTCTCAGCCACCTCTAACAAACATTTATTCCGTGGACAAAAAGATTTCCGCGGGCCGGATGAGAGGACATCGCGGGCCGCATCTGGCCCGCGGGCCGTAGTTTGGAGAACCCTGTCTTATAGTGCCAGGTTCCTTCAAAGTTTTGATCACAAGACTACACAGAGGAATAACGGAGACAGCGAGTAAAGCTTAATTAAGCAAACTTATCTTGTAAAAAAAACTATTTGGGCTTAATTATAATTTATTTAAATCTTGTATAGGTAGTTTCTACTCTACTAGTAGTAGAACATCAATTTACTCGACCGAAATAAGACATTTTCGACACTATGAGCAATACAATATGGTTCAATGCATAGGATAGCATAAGAACAAAATATGCTTCAAATCACACTTAACGCACTAGACCAAGTCAGACCTTCATTGCTTGAACGCGACCTAATACACTCAATTGCTTTTTTTTTTTAAATTAAAATGTTATTTTTTTAAAAAACGGTAAATGTGAAAAATGCCTCCGTGCTACGTTTGTTACCGTTATTAAATAAAGTTCAATAAAGTTGAATAAACTGATGGCTGAACATTTACCATCACTGTTGCGAGCTTGGGCAACTTGAGACTCTTGTAATTAAAAATGTGGATTGTCTTTTTTTCTGAAACAATAGCCCAAGCAATTAGATTTGTGTAGGCTGTTTTTAGAAGTTGTTTAATGGAGGCTCCTCGGTGGTATGCAGTGATGTCTTCCAAACGGATTTCTAAATTCTAATTTTTTTTTGGCTGGTTTTTTTTTCTAGTAGTTTAAATTTAAAACAAGGCTGAAACTAAAATATTTTCAGAATTGTTTATCTAAAGAGCATTCGTGGCTAAGCAGCCAATTAATTTTTTAAAATTTAATTTTCACGTAGGTTTTAAAACGATGTATCCGGTTCTATTCCAGGATTTAAAAAATAAACTTGAGAAACATTTTTTCTTCTGATTCTTCCCCGTCTTCCGACCAGTCTCAGTATACTATCGGACAGAGGTCAATTCGAGTATTCCAAGGTCCTAACCGCATCGAGAAAAAGCTAATTGTATAGACGCTTTGAGTGTCACAGATGATAAATGTAACACGTTTTTTTTCCTACCCTGGTCGGTCTGTGTTATAATCAATCTGATTTCTCTGATAGTCTACAAGCCGGGGGTAGAGGGGGGGGGGGGGTAAGTATAGACTAGATTGAAGTAGATGGGGGGGGGGGGTAAGTATAGACTGGATTGAAGTAGATGGGGGCTAAGTAGAGACTAGGTTTGCAGTAGACGTGGGTAAGTATAGACTAGACTTTCAGTAAATGGGAGGGGGTAAGTATAGTCTAAGCTTGCAATGGATGGATGAGTAAGTATAGACTAGACTAGACTTGCAGTAGATGGGGGTACGTATAGACTAGCATTGCAGTAGATGGTGGGGTAGGGTGTGAGTCAGGGGCGTAGCGAGGGGGGGGGGCGGGGGGTGCGGACCGCACCGGGTGACACCATTTAAGGGGGTGACACCAAGGCAAAAAATAGCAAAATATATAAAGAAAAACTTGAGGGGGGGGGGTGCAAATCGAAAGTTTGAGGGGGGGGGGGTGCAAAGCGAAAACTTGAAAGTTTGTCCCCGGGAAGGGTCGCTACGCCTCTGGGGAGTGACACCATTAAGTGCCGCACCGGGTGACACCCGACCTCGCTACGCCACTGGTGTGAGTATAGACTTGCATCAGAAGGGGAGTAAGTATTGCCTAGGCTTGTTTTCAGAAGCGTAGCGACCCTTCCCGGCGACCGGGGACATACTTTCAATTTGCGATTTGCACCCCCCCTCCCTCGAACTTTTCAATTACACCCCCTCCCTCAAACTTTCGATTTGCACCCCCCCCCCTCGAACTTTTCATTTGCACCCCCCTCAAACTTTCGCTTTGCACCCCCCCCCCCTCGAACTTTTCATTTGCACCCCCCCTCAAACTTTCAATTTGGCGCCCCCCCCCTAAGGTCGGCGCCCGGGGACATATGTCCCCGCCCCCCCCCCCCCCTCGCTACGCCTCTGCTTGTTTTATCTAAATTGTCATTAATGCTTAAATATAGAGGCCGCCCAAGACTCCACACCTATACACATTCAGCCAAAATATATTTCTACCCTCCATGGAAACGATACGCTACAATCAGACAAGACAACTCTATACAGTCAACCAAGATACAATTCACTTAAGATTACCACGGGCTCATAACTTCTTAATGACACGAGCATTTCCAGTTTGCGTTTATCAACTTAATTATTGATTGCTATCGATTTAAAATGGCACGTGGCTAACTGCAGTAAATCTTTCAGGTTTGTTCGGTCAGGATGGCTCGGCGTTTCCGGAAAGACGCCATTACTTCCCGCGTATTTTCTGCCTGAACTCATTCCAAAAAGCTAAATATAGCCCAGAAGAAATCTGAGATGTTCTAAGTTTTGTTAATTATTAGATCATAAATCAAATTATTAAATCTTAAAATAAATCGATGTATTGAAATTAGATTATTTAACGGAAATTTTGTTTTACCGTTTTAATATTTTAAAAACAAATATTAACTCTAAAAAAAAACCCGGTTCATATTTTTTTAATATCCGCAAAGTGCTCGAGCTGTTTCCACGGCCTTCTAGACAGCCAATCTAAAGTCCAATAAAGGCTGGCCAGGAAGGCGACATTCTCCCAACTTAACAACCAACATCTCGTTTCATTACAGGCGTTCGTGTATCTGCCTGTTTGTATTTCTCGTCGGTTTTTTTTGGTCTTCAAATGTTGGGAAATCCGCCTCAATTTTATTGATTCCCTTTGCTACAGCGCGCTCAATTTTCATGTGTACATAAGGGTTACAAAAACAAGACAACATAAGCACATAATTTTAAACTGCTAGTAAAAAAATAAATACAAGCATAATTAGTTATCTCTCGGCGCGCGAGTTTCTTGTAAGGCGCGGAGTTCATTAAGAAGAGATTGAATCATGGCCGGGTTGAAACTGCTCAAGGCGACTCGGTGGTTCTAGGCCTCCACCCTCCCTCTCCTCCCCTCCCTCTCCGCTCGCTTCATCTATCTTCGGTCATCAGAAATGGATCAATGGAACCGAGGGGAAGAGAAATAGGAAGAGGGAGGGGGGGGGGGGCGTTAACTATTTAACAGAAATGGGGAGGGGGAGGGGAGTGCCGTTAACTATTTAACAAAAATGGGGAGGGGAGTGCCGTTAACTATTTAACAGAAATGGGGAGGGGAGTGCCGTTAACTATTTAACAGAAATCATATGAAGAATCTGTACCTCTGTGATATTTGTTTTTAAAGTGCTTGGTGAGAAGGTTAATATTTACGTTGTGAGATAAAAGTGCATATAGTATCCTCTAAGGGTACATACACTATGGGATTAACCAAATACCCTGGTCCAAAAAGACCCGTGTCCCAACAGTCTGACCCCTACACTCATGTACACATCTAACCTGACCCACACAAGTTTGTACCCGTCCGACCTGACCCGTACACCCATGCATCCACCCAACCTGACCCGTACACCCATCCATCCACCCAACCTGACCCGTACACCGATGCATCCACCCAACCTGACCCGTACACCCATGCATCCACCCAACCTGACCCGTACACCCGTGCATCCACCCAACCTGACCCGTACACCCATGCATCCACCCAACCTGACCCGTACACCCATGCATCCACCCAACCTGACCCGTACACCCATGCATCCACCCAACCTGACCCGTACACCCATGCATCCACCCAACCTGACCCGTACACCCATGCATCCACCCAACCTGACCCGTACACCCGTGCATCCACCCGACCTGACCCGTACACCCATGCATCCACCCAACCTGACCCGTACACCCATGCATCCACCCAACCTGACCCGTACACCCATGCATCCACCCAACCTGACCCGTACACCCATGCATCCACCCAACCTGACCCGTACACCCATGTATCCACCCAACCTGACCCGTACACCCATGCATCCACCCAACCTGACCCGTACACCCATGCATCCACCCAACCTGACCCGTACACCCATGCATCCACCTATGCATCCACCCATGCATCCACCCGTGCATCCACCCATTTTGACCCACACACGAACGCACATCCAATTTCACCGAAGATTTTTAAACTAGATCGACGTGTTTACCAATCAGTGACGTCACTTCCCCCTTCCCCCTCCCCCCTCGCAAAAAGCAACGGTTTTCATTTTCCTGCCTCCTATGACGACACAGGCAGGCTCCCTCCGCCCCAGCAAAATTGTATAAAAACCAAAATCCACGGAGGAGTTGTCCTCATGTTTGGCCACTGGTTATGTCCCCTTGCTTGATGTGGTTTCAATGTAAACTAGACAGTATGCGCGCGGGTCATGTGTGTGACAGTCGAAGCATTTCTTTTCGCGCCTTTTTAAGGATACAGCAGTTTTACGTTCAACTCCTCTTTTCATAACTTGTCGATTTCATACAGTGAGTATGTTTTATTTATGTATCTATTTATTTTGATAACACAAAGTTTGTTTACGCGTGTTAGAATTTCCGTTGGATTTTAGATAACTTTCCAAATTGGAGAAGTGACGCATTATTTTTGTTACGTTATCGGCTGGTCGACCACATCAATAACGCTGTCTGCTGGGCTGTTGTGACGTCACTCATTGACTTCCGACTCATGTTAGCGAATATCCCGACGGTTTTTTGTTGTGGTCTTCCAAGTTGTCGTCCTTGGTTCGTAGCTCGTGTTTGTAAAGCGCCAAGGCAGCGAGGTGTGGGGAGATAGTACAAAACAATCCAATTTTTCTATCGTTAGGGGCGCTCAAGTTGCCCTGACTTCAGGGCTTGTTTAGCGGATGGGATGAAAAAGTAGTTAGAGTTTGGGCGACTTGTGTATAGCACGCTTTTGTTCCGCCAGAAAATATGTGTCTCCAAGTTAGATATGGAAGAGTTCCATGTCATACAAATAATAGTACAACGGGAAAAGTACTTTTTTTTCACTTATTTTACAGGTATAATTCGACTGACTGCAAATAATTCTCATATAAAAATATTTTTTAAAGAAAAAGGTTTTTATTGCATTAAAAAAAAACACGAACAAAATCATAAATGAAAAAAAAGATGTAACTAAAAAGTAAAACATACATTTATTTTATCTGCCTACAAAATAAATTTTGTCCAGATTCATTAAAAATTGTTTTTTTCTCTTTCTGCATGGTCTTCATATTGTAGCCTCACTACAGCTGTATGCTGTGGCGTAGCCTCACTACAGCTGTATGCTGTGGTGTTCATATTGTAGCCTCACTACAGCTGTATGCTGTGGTGTAGCCTCACTACAGCTGTATGCTGTGGTGTTCATATTGTAGCCTCACTACAGCTGTATGCTGTGGTGTTCATATTGTAGCCTCACTACAGCTGTATGCTGTGGTGTAGCCTCACTACAGCTGTATGCTGTGGTGTTCATATTGTAGCCTCACTACAGCTGTATGCTGCTATGACTAAAAAGAAAAACCCGAAGGCTCAGTAATGAAAACGTAACATGGGTCTTATATTACAGAACGTAAACATACCAATCGTACTTCTTATAAAAGTAAATATTTTTCTCATACGTGACCGCCCTGGCTTTTGTTTTCAACCCAGTCGGACAGTGTTCCAACTGTTCCCCTCGAGGGGAGAATACTAACAACACAATGGCACCAAAATATCTCTCTAGTTATATATGTGTACTTAACGCTGGGCATTTAGCGGGGCACTACGTTGGGCACTATGTTGGGCCCTGTGCTATCTCATCATTTCTTGTAGGCCTATGAAATCTAAACAGGCCAACTCTACTCCGCCTGCTCCATCTACAACCAATCTCTCGCCATAAACGTCACGTGATACGGGTCTCTGTACTCTCTGGTATCAGTGTTGTCTATCGTGTCACATCTCGTCACAAATACCCCCCTCCCCCGCTCACATCCCCTCCCCCTTATATCCCCTCCCCCTTATATCCCTTCCCCTTATATCCCCTCCCCTGCACCCCGTAAGTAGAGATGAACATAGCGATAACGGATAACACCAAGCTTGTGTTGTTACAGGTGGTGTAGAGCAAAGCAGTTTATTTCGAACCAGGTGCTGCGCCCCCCCCCCGCCCCATTTCGGAAAAGTTGGGGTGCTTTTAACCAGTACCTTTCCAGTATTACTTTTTATTGTGTGTTATACAATTGATGTAGAAAACAGCTAAATCAGTCTGGAGAGCTAATACGCAGTCAGTTTTCTTAAATTCAGTATAATTGTGTACAATTCAGTAATGCAGCTCATAATAGGTTTTTTAGTTTTTTTTCGACCACGTTAGGCGTCTCCTTTTCTATACTTTGAAACTCTATCTTTCAAAAAAAAACTTGATCTTTGACCATGAGAGCGAGGCTAGAACACATCACGTGACCAGGACAAGAACACCTAGCTAGTATTGTATTGGGAGGACATCAGACAAACACACACACACACACACACAAAGCACACACACACAAGGAGGGAGAGAGCAAGAGAGAGAGAGAGAGAGAACATTGACACAAGACACGCACACACATAGAAAACTTTGAAACAAGACAAACACACACACAGAAAACATTGACACAAGACAAACACACACACAGAAAACATTGACACAAGACAAACACACACACACACAGAAAACATTGACATAAGACAAACACACACACACTGAAAACAGTGACACAAGACAAACACACACACAGAAAACATTGACACAAGACAAACACACACACAAAGAAAACATTGACACAAGACAAACACACACACAGAAAACATTGACACAAGACAAACACACACACACAGAAAACATTGATACAAGACAAACACACACACAAAGAAAACATTGACACAAGACAAACACACACACAGAAAACATTGACACAAGACAAACAAACACACACAGAAAACATTGACACAAGACAAACACACACACAGAAAACATTGACACAAGACAAACACACACACAGAAAACATTGACACAAGACAAACACACACACAGAAAACATTGACACAAGACAAACAAACACACACAGAAAACATTGACACAAGACAAACACACACACAGAAAACATTGACACAAGACAAACACACACACAGAAAACATTGACACAAGACAAACAAACACACACAGAAAACATTGACACAAGACAAACACACACACAGAAAACATTGACACAAGACAAACACATTCTACAGCTAAATTTATGAGCACCTTCCTCTCAACATTCTCATCCTCTTTCCGTTTTATTTCCCTTCACGTCCCCCCCCCCCCCCCCACCGTCTTTCAGCCCGCCCCTCCCACCCACCCCTCCCGTCTGGAAGAAAGTCTGTCAATGAAATTACGTTGTGTGCCATTGGTAAAATAAGGACATGGACAAGTGGTCTCGGCGGGGCGGTCTTTTTGTGTCATCTTCTCCGGTACCCCCCCCCCCTCCCCCTATACACACACGTCCACTTGATGTATCAACTTGTCAACTTATTTATCAACTTTACTGGCTCAATAAATTGCGTGTATCAACGTTAGTGGCCCAGTCAATTGTTTTATCAATTTAGCCGGCTCCGTCAATTTGACCTTTGAAATTAAAATTTTATAAACTAGAGGTGAAATCGATTTTTAAAATGTAAAGCCTCACATCCATCGCCCAAATCCTTCATGACCATAGCTCTTGTCTAACCCTAATCCCTGCTCTAAAGCCGAGGTTATTAAATTGGTTATCGACATTTTCAAAAGTATTTTCATTAACTTTAAGCAATATGTATACCAGGTCATGTTTTTTACCTCTATACAGTTCAATGTATCTAGATCATATTTTATACTCAGTCTCATCCACTTTAACTAGTGTTATCCATAATGCTGTCCATGATGTGTTTTGCATCCAGTGTATCCAGTTTTCTACTTTACTCCAACCACCAGTGAAACACCTACCTATCCTTGTATCCATAAAAGTCAAGTTTTTTTTTATCTGTATACACCAGATAATCAATGCAATTTATCCCCTCCACCCGCAATTTATCCCCAACAACAACAATTTATCCCCGACAACACACAATTTATCCCCGACAACACACAATTTATCCCCAACAACACACAATTTATCCCCAACAACACACAATTTATCCCCGACAACACACAATTTATCCCCAACAACACACAATTTATCCCCACTAACATGCTTTTTACACACACATTCACACACTCAGGGGTCATCTACAAATGACGTCACTCACGTAAGGTTCGGGGTCAGACGTTTATGTCCACATCTTGCTGTGTCAGAAATGTGAGAGCACTTATATTTTGTAATGAAGAAAACGATGCGATTTTTGTTCCTATCTAACAACAATTTTACCATCAATCATCTCATAACATCCACCTCTACATAAATATCCACATCTACCCAAATATCCACATCTACCCAAATATCCACATCTACCAAAATATCCACATCTACCCATATATCCACATCTACCCAAATATCCACATCTACCCAAATATCCACATCTACCAAAATATCCACATCTACCCAAATATCCACATCTACCCAAATATCCATATCTACCCAAATATCAAATTCTACCCAAATATCCACATCTACCCAAATATCAAATTCTATCCATATATCCACATCTACCCAAATATCCACATCTACCCAAATATCCACATCTACCCAAATATCCACATCTACCCAAATATTCACATCTACCCAAATATTCACATCTACCCAAATATCCACATCTGCCCAGATATCCACATCTACCCAAATATCCACATCTACCCAAATATCCACATCTACCCAAATATCCACATCTACCCAAATATTCACATCTACCCAAATATTCACATCTACCCAAATATCAAATTCTACCCAGATATCCAAATCCACCCAGATATCCACATCTACCCAAATATCCACATCTACCCAAATATCCACTTCTACCCAAATCAACATCTACCCAAATATTCACATCTACCCAAATATCAAATTCTACCGATATATCCACATCTACCCAGATATCCACATCTACCCTAATATCCACATCTACCCATATATCCTCGCATGAGTCTAATCATCCCCACCGACTACCGAGCATCTCTCAACGTTGGACGGCCTTTGATTATCTGTGCTGGTGTCGCCCAGATCACAGCCTCCACCCGCCTGTACCCCAGCTAGAGCCGCTGCTGGACGGCCTTTGATTATCTGTGCTGGTGTCGCCCAGATCACAGCCTCCACCCGCCTGTACCCCAGCTAGAGCCGCTGCTGGACGGCCTTTGATTATCTGTGCTGGTGTCGCCCAGATCACAGCCTCCACCACCCCAGCTAGAGCCGCTGCTGGACGGCCTTTGATTATCTGTGCTGGTGTCGCCCAGATCACAGCCTCCACCCGCCTGTACCCCAGCTAGAGCCGCTGCTGGACGGCCTTTGATTATCTGTGCTGGTGTCGCCCAGATCACAGCCTCCACCACCCCAGCTAGTGCCGCTGCTGGACGGCCTTTGATTATCTGTGCTGGTGTCGCCCAGATCACAGCCTCCACCACCCCAACTAGAGCCGCTGCTGGACGGCCTTTGATTATCTGTACTGGTGTCGCCCAGATCACAGCCTCCACCACCCCAGCTAGAGCCGCTGCTGGACGGCCTTTGATTATCTGTGCTGGTGTCGCCCAGATCACAGCCTCCACCACCCCAGCTAGAGCCGCTGCTGGACGGCCTTTGATTATCTGTGCTGGTGTCGCCCAGATCACAGCCTCCACCCGCCTGTACCCCAGCTAGAGCCGCTGCTGGACGGCCTTTGATTATCTGTGCTGGTGTCGCCCAGATCACAGCCTCCACCCGCCTGTACCCCAGCTAGAGCCGCTGCTGGACGGCCTTTGATTATCTGTGCTGGTGTCGCCCAGATCACAGCCTCCACCCGCCTGTACCCCAGCTAGAGCCGCTGCTGGACGGCCTTTGATTATCTGTGCTGGTGTCGCCCAGATCACAGCCTCCACCCGCCTGTACCCCAGCTAGAGCCGCTGCTGGACGGCCTTTGATTATCTGTGCTGGTGTCGCCCAGATCACAGCCTCCACCACCCCAGCTAGAGCCGCTGCTGGACGGCCTTTGATTATCTGTGCTGGTGTCGCCCAGATCACAGCCTCCACCACCCCAGCTAGTGCCGCTGCTGGACGGCCTTTGATTATCTGTGCTGGTGTCGCCCAGATCACAGCCTCCACCACCCCAGCTAGAGCCGCTGCTGCCCGGGACAAGGAAATCAATGAGAGAAAACTGTCGAGTCGTGTGCGTTTAATGGCTAGGATAGTATTCGATGTTTGTGTTTAGTGGAGGGAGAGGTGTTTTACGTCAAGGGGAGGGAGAGGTGTTTTACGTCAGGGGGAGGGAGTGGTGTTTTACGTTAGGGGGAGGGAGAGGTGTTTTACGTCAGGGGGAGGGAGAGGTGTTTTACGTTAGGGGGAAGGAGATGTGTTTTACGTTAGGGGGAGGGAGAGGTGTTTTACGTTAGGGGGAGGGAGAGGTGTTTTACGTTAGGGGGAAGGAGATGTGTTTTACGTTAGGGGGAGGGAGAGGTGTTTTACGTTAGGGGGAGGGAGAGATGTTTTACGTCAAGGGGGAGAGGTGTTTTATGTTAGGGGCAGGGAAAGGTGTTTTACGTTAGAGGGAGGGAGAGGTGTTTTACGTTAGGGGGAGGGAGTGGTGTTTTACATAAGTGTGACTGAGGCACTGAGTGTCTGACCGTGAATGTGTTGGTGTTTTGGTTTATGTGTGTGTTTTTGTGTGGAAGAGTGTTTAACGCTTTTAATAGATGGAGGTGTGTGCTACTTTTCTGTGTTTAGTTTGTGTGGGTTGAGGTGGGTTGGTCATGAGGTGTTTTGTGTTCGCGGGTAAAAAAGCTGAGTACTTGAGTATGTATTTGGTTTGTGTGTGTGTGTGGGGGGGGGGGGGGAGGGTATTACAGTGGCAATGTTCAGTGCTTGTATTTGTGCTCCCGTATGAGTGTGTGAGTGTGTGTGTGAATGGAGGAATTGGTGCTGTTAACAATTCGTGTGAAAATGTTCACTGGCCGGTATTGAAAGAGGTCGGTGTGTATAGTGTCATTAAAATGCATGTGTTGAAGTTGTGTTTGTGCGAGTTAGTGAGAATGTGTGTAGGTGCGTGTGTTATGTGCTCACTGGCCTGTACAGAAAGTGGACGAGCTGTTTTGTGAGGGTGTGTGTGTCTATTTGTGTGGATGGGTTCGTGTGTATGGGTTCACTGGCCTGTATTGGGGACGGAGTGTTTACTTTGGTATGAGAGGTATACTCTAGATTAAATTGAGCATAATTAAACGTGCTGAAATAATCATGTGGCGTAACCTTTAGGTTGATTGCCTAGCTAAGACGAGCGGCTTACCGGCTACATAGCTTGCTTGTTTTAGTAACCGGTGGTGTTGGGCTGTACTAGACATTAATCTACCGGGGTAGTCTAGTTGTCTGACTAGCCACTAGAAGTCTAGTTGAATGGCCAAAAGTCTAGTTGTCTGGCCAAAAGTCTAGTTGTCTGGCCAAAGGTCTAGTTTGGCCAAAAGTCTAGTCTGGCCATCCACTAGAAGTCTAGTTGTCTGGCCAAAAGTCTAGTTGTTTAACCAAAAGTCTAGTTGTCTAACCAAAAGTCTAGTTGTCTAACCAAAAGTCTAGTTGTCTAACCAAAAGTCTAGTTGTCTAACCAAAAGTCTAGTTGTCTAACCAAAAGTCTAGTTGTCTAACCAAAAGTCTAGTTGTCTAACCAAAAGTCTAGTTGTCTAACCAAAAGTCTAGTTGTCTAACCAAAAGTCTAGTTGTCTAACCAAAAGTCTAGTTGTCTAACCAAAAGTCTAGTTGTCTAACCAAAAGTCTAGTTGTCTAACCAAAAGTCTAGTTGTCTGGCCAAAAGTCTAGTTGTCTGGCCAGCTAAACAGGCCTGAATGAGGTCACGACTGAAGAGACGTACGTTAGTGCTACAGCCGACGTTTAGTCCATTGAAATGTACGGCGCGAGTCTCCTCGGTAATGTAGGCTATTTTATGTTCCTCCATTATTGATGACAGAATCGACCTGTGGTTCGGGTGATGATTTAGATAGTTCTAATCACGATAGCTGCCTTCTCTGCCCGTTGTGTGATCATTTAGATAGTTCTAATCACGATAGATGCCTTCTCTGCCCGTTACGTGATCATTTAGATAGTTCTAACCACGATAGCTGCCTTCTCTGCCCGTTACGTGATCATTAGATATTTATAATCACGATAGATGCCTTCTCTGCCCGTTACAAATTAATATGGACGAATTTTTTTCAGTTCATCTCTCGCATTTATTGGTTGATTATTTGGTAATCACATCACACGCATCTTTGCACGATTCATCTATCTTCGTCGTTCGATCTCTCCCTTCCCCCAACCTCCCCCCCTCCCTCTCTCACCCCTATCTGGCTGCCTCGTCTCGTATTTTCGCTCTTGTCTCTCTATTCCTTGAATTCTCCCGACATTTTTTGAGAGTTTTAAAACTCAGGTTTTAAAGCAAACTAGCGACGCAAGCATTAGTTGCTCCACGCTAGCATTAGTTGCTACACGCTAGCATTAGTTGCTACACGCTAGCATTAGTTGCTACACGCTAGCATTAGTTGCTACACGGTCTATCCAGTATTTTAATATAAAGGTTTGAATCAAGAAATACAATTCAACTATTAAACTACACGAGGTGTAACAGTTTTTATAAAATAATAGAGGCTTCGTTGTGTTGTAGTTTTTTGTTTGTAACACAAGGTAGAGAAGGTTGCGAAAAACTAAAACCATCTCTCTGTAAGTAAAGAACCACTTCTAATTCACCTCACTACAGGCTGTCCTCACCTCACTACAGGCTGTCCTCACCTCACTACAGGCTGTCCTCACCTCACTACAGGCTGTCCTCACCTCACTACAGGCTGTCCTCACTACAGGCTGTCCTCACCTCACTACAGGCTGTCCTCACCTCACTACAGGCTGTCCTCACCTCACTAGAGGCTGTCCTCACCTCACTACAGGCTGTCCTCACCTCACTACAGGCTGTCCTCACCTCACTACAGGCTGTCCTCACCTCACTACAGGCTGTCCTCACCTCACTACAGGCTGTCCTCATCTCACTACAGGCTGTCCTCACTACAGGCTGTCCTCACCTCACTACAGGCTGTCCTCACCTCACTACAGGCTGTCCTCACTACAGGCTGTCCTCACCTCACTACAGGCTGTCCTCACCTCACTACAGGCTGTCCTCACTACAGGCTGTCCTCACTACAGGCTGTCCTCACTACAGGCTGTCCTCACCTCACTACAGGCTGTCCTCACCTCACTATAGGCTGTCCTCACTACAGGCTGTCCTCACCTCACTACAGGCTGTCCTCACCTCACTATAGGCTGTCCTCACTACAGGCTGTCCTCACCTCACTACAGGCTGTCCTCACTACAGGCTGTCCTCACCTCACTACAGGCTGTCCTCACCTCACTATAGGCTGTCCTCACTACAGGCTGTCCTCACCTCACTACAGGCTGTCCTCACCTCACTATAGGCTGTCCTCACTACAGGCTGTCCTCACCTCACTACAGGCTGTCCTCACCTCACTACAGGCTGTCCTCACCTCATTACAGGCTGTCCTCACCTCACTACAGGCTGTCCTCACTACAGGCTGTCCTCACCTCACTACAGGCTGTCCTCACCTCACTACAGGCTGTCCTCACCTCACTATAGGCAGTCCTCACTACAGGCTGTCCTCATTACAGGCTGTCCTCACCTCATTACAGGCTGTCCTCACCTCACTACAGGCTGTCCTCACCTCACTACAGGCTGTCCTCACCTCACTACAGGCTGTCCTCACCTCACTATAGGCTGTCCTCACTACAGGCTGTCCTCACTACAGGCTGTCCTCACCTCACTACAGGCTGTCCTCACCTCACTACAGGCTGTCCTCACCTCATTACAGGCTGTCCTCACTACAGGCTGTCCTCACCTCACTACAGGCTGTCCTCATTACAGGCTGTCCTCACCTCATTACAGGCTGTCCTCACCTCACTACAGGCTGTCCTCACCTCACTACAGGCTGTCCTCACCTCACTACAGGCTGTCCTCACCTCACTACAGGCTGTCCTCACCTCACTACAGGCTGTCCTCACTACAGGCTGTCCTCACCTCACTACAGGCTGTCCTCACCTCACTACATGCTGTCCTCACCTCATTACAGGCTGTCCTCACCTCATTACAGGCTGTCCTCACCTCACTACAGGCTGTCCTCACTACAGGCTGTCCTCACTACAGGCTGTCCTCACCTCACTACAGGCTGTCCTCACCTCATTACAGGCTGTCCTCACTACAGGCTGTCCTCACCTCACTACAGGCTGTCCTCACCTCACTACAGGCTGTCCTCACCTCATTACAGGCTGTCCTCACCTCACTACAGGCTGTCCTCACTACAGGCTGTCCTCACCTCACTACAGGCTGTCCTCACCTCACTACAGGCTGTCCTCACCTCACTATAGGCAGTCCTCACTACAGGCTGTCCTCACTACAGGCTGTCCTCACCTCACTACAGGCTGTCCTCACCTCATTACCGGCTGTCCTCACTACAGGCTGTCCTCACCTCACTACAGGCTGTCCTCACCTCACTACAGGCTGTCCTCACCTCATTACAGGCTGTCCTCACCTCACTACAGGCTGTCCTCACCTCACTACAGGCTGTCCTCACCTCACTACAGGCTGTCCTCACCTCACTACAGGCTGTCCTCACCTCACTACAGGCTGTCCTCACTACAGGCTGTCCTCACCTCACTACAGGCTGTCCTCACCTCACTACAGGCTGTCCTCACCTCACTAGAGGCTGTCCTCACCTCACTACAGGCTGTCCTCACCTCACTACAGGCTGTCCTCACCTCACTACAGGCTGTCCTCACCTCACTACAGGCTGTCCTCACCTCACTACAGGCTGTCCTCATCTCACTACAGGCTGTCCTCACTACAGGCTGTCCTCACCTCACTACAGGCTGTCCTCACCTCACTACAGGCTGTCCTCACCTCACTACAGGCTGTCCTCACCTCACTACAGGCTGTCCTCACCTCACTACAGGCTGTCCTCACTACAGGCTGTCCTCACTACAGGCTGTCCTCACTACAGGCTGTCCTCACCTCACTACAGGCTGTCCTCACCTCACTATAGGCTGTCCTCACTACAGGCTGTCCTCACCTCACTACAGGCTGTCC